GAGTGGGAGCAAACATGGGGGTGGATTCAGACAAAAATAGGAGCAACCCAGAGGGAGCAGCAAATAGGAAGTGAGGGCAGCTTAAATCGGAAAGATAAGTGCAGCTTGAAAGCAAGAATGTAGACCCTGATCACTGGGAAGCCAGACTGGGTATGAAAGGATGAGGCAGGGAGTAGGTTGAGGCAGTGGCAAAATATATCTGGAAGAGCTCATTTTGCATAGTCTAGAGTTGAAGAGCTGAGGACAAAGAATAAGTCAACTGGAAACAGTACAGTCAAGAGAAGCTATTACCACATTACAGATTTTGGAAGCACCCTAGTGGAAGCAGCAGCAGGATTTGGGGAGGTTCTGGAGTCAGGAACTAGGAAAAGCAGGAACCAGAGCAGCTTGGAGATCTTAGCCTGGACAGCAAGACTGCAATGTAATCAAATAAATTGCAGCTGCTTACACATAAAAGCAGCTGAAAGGACAGACAAGCATAAGCAGTGTAATTCTTGGGAAACGATGCAAGTCACTGGCCATAACGCCTCACCATTTTGAGAGCTAATATGGGATTGATGAGGCTGTGTTGGAGAGAAGTGAGTCACCACCTCCACACAGCATGAACACCATTTGCTGCTTTAGCCTGCTCTCCCTTGCTGCTCCGCCAAGCTAATCCTTCACAGCAGGCAGACGCTGCCATTCCACACTAACAAGCTTTGGTGATGGAAACAAGCCAAGATAAACTCAGTCAAAAGCCAGGGCTTTTGAACCCGCAGAGGCAAGAATCTACTACCAAGCTCCAATTGCATCTGCAACCCCCCCTTAGGTATGAATGAGCTCTTCAGAGCTAGTTCTCATTCTCTACTAGCGAGAGATACTCAAACTGGATTGGATTCTGCTTTTTTCCCCCCAATTTGCCTTCTAACATTCTGGCCACCTCTGTGAATCTGCTGTGTCTGCAGGGCTTTCACTGGTTCTACGTTGTGCAGATCTGCCTGGGTCCTGGACTATGACACTATAACTGCCTTTGCCTGAGATTTCTGGGAAGCTATGCTGCTCAGGCCAGGCAACACGCATCCCAGGTGAAAACATACAACCCTAAACAAAACTATGGTAACAACAATGCATTCTGACGTATAAATGCATCTACTATAAATAAAGTACTTAACAAGAAGTCAGGAGAGTGAATGTACTGAACAACCTCACAAGCTGCTAATATATTTAGGTAGTGAACACGCACAAGACTGATCAAGACAGACTAAGAGCATGAGGCAGGAGTCCTCTCAGCAATTAGATCTTTTTGATCTTTATACCAGAGGGAAGGAGAGAGGAATAAGTGTCACATGAAGTTTGAACTGGAACTCAAATAACCAGCAAAGGATCTCAGGTCCCTTCACACCTAAGGATTTACTAACTAGATCAGAAGACATGCAGAGCATGAGATAAATTCTGTGCTATAGAGCGAAGTGTAATGTAACATGCTTCAAAAGAAGTGGATACATCTCCCACTCCAAGGGCCAACAGGAGCAAGAGGTAACGGAGAGCCAACAGTGTGCTGCAGCATGTCCTCAGGTTGGTTTCTATGTTTTAACCACTGATGTTATTGCGTCTGTTTTGTAACTGGAATACATTTGCTATTCAAGAGCAACAGCTTCAGAGGGATTATCTGGTGAAATAAACAGGAAGCAGCTAAGAGTTAACAAACACCTTGCACTCAAAGCAACCACACTGGTAAAGAGGACCCAAAAAAGACAATAAGGTCTCTGCAAGGGTATTTAATTTGATACTGCTTTCTCTTCCTTCTTGCAGACCCTAAGAATATAGGTTTCCTTTCAGCACTGAAATTTCATCCTCTTGTGAAGGCAGCTAGTAACCAAGCCTCTCTAAAGCAGCCTTCTAGGAGACCCATTTCAACCAGCTATCAGCCAGAGGACTCCCACGGTCAAGTATATTAGAAAAAATTCCAGAACAATGGCATTAGAGGCTTTGGGCCAAGCAAGGAACATCCTTGTTTTTCACTTGGAAGACAGAGTGAGAATGTGCAAAGATCCAGTCATCCAAATAGCTTGTGTTCTCACTGTGCTGCTACTCAGGCAAAAGGTTCTTTAAAAAAGCCACTGCTTCAGCACAAAAAGGCTCCTCAGAAAGGCAGGCCTTTCATTAAGAGCTTCTTTTCAGCTCTGCTGGGAATCAACGTATCTTACCACAAATGCAAAGCACACTGTTAAACTTAGGTTGCTATAGAAACAGATTTAAATAACAGCAGCCTATGTGTCCTTACCTGTGAAGTCCTAGGCTGACTAGTGCTGTCAGAAAGGACAGTGCTGGGATTGTTCCGGGGCTGGCCCTCCAGCCAGGAAATCTTTAGAGGATTATTTATTAGGCCAACTTCATTCTTCACAGCCATCTCCTACCAATGCAAATATTCTTCCATCACCATCTGAATTTCAGACCCCACTCCCTCACAGGTCACTAACAATCATAAACGTTTTTCCATCTCAGCCTCGCATCAAGTAGGGCACAAACAACGAAGATTTCACAGCTGCCCTACATGAGGAGCACCCTTTAAGGTCCATATCTGCATCAAGCATAGATAGAACATATCACTGCCAGTACTTTTGATAAACAGGTCAGACAATTCTGGGGGTTTTTTTTGATTATTTGGATATATGAGTGAAAGAACAGGTGATAAGGAATAGAGACTCTTGTATGGTATAAGTTGATGGAACTACTAAAATTAAGGATAACTGACGAGTTCTGTTTCCAAAGCCACATGAATTATTATAACCCATAGTGAGTCAAGACATTTTGATTTCTTTCAAACTGCAAATGCCTAATATAACCTCAAAAACTCATTAAGCCCATCTCCACAATGGCTAATTCACCTTCAGTGAGAGCTGATTAAATGGCTCAGTGCCTGCTTTTTAAAGCAGTGTCTCTTTCCTCAGCCTTTTACATGCACAGCCTGCTTGTTTATGTGCATGATCTGCTCTGGGTTTATGCCTCCAGCTTTGCCACTCCCTTCACGCATCTGTACCTTTAGACTCTCATTACCCTTCTCCACTGCCTTAATGACAAGGCAGCGTCTCTAGGCTGTCAGTCTGCTAACCATTCCCTTCTGCAATACCCCTTCTTGCCCACTCTCCCAGACACATCTGGGGTCTCCCCCAGACTTACAGCAGCCTTAACTGTAGCAAATTCCACAACTGCACTCCCAGTCTTCCTGCTTGAGATCAACAAATTGAGCACATCGCCATACTGTTAAGACAAAGGAAGAAAGAAAAGTTAAAGTTAATTACAGACCCAGAAGAGAAGCCAAGTTCATCTGTGGAATGAACGCAGAGAAAACATGTGTTTTCACGGACATGAGGCTTGACCCTTTCTGTCTTGCATGATGCTTCCACTGATCCCAACCTGTCATAATTTCTGTCCCTCCAGGAAATAATTCTGGGGAGGCATGGAGCTACACACTTTGCTTCCAGCAAGCCCCAGTGCAAGAGGGCTGCTCAGCTCAGTCAGAGCTACAGGAGATACTTGCATGAAGGGAAAATAAAGACCACATGCTGGGATTAATCGGATCAAAGGCTTGTCTATTCCTGTCTCTGAACTTCCCACAGCAGCTAATGTATAGTGCTTTAAGTGAAGGCAAAAGTGCACCGTAACCGCACAGCCAGTCTAACTTTCATACAGGGCATGAACCATTCAGTGGGAAGAGTCTGCAGCTGCTCT